GATCCCAAAAGAATTCCAGCCTTCAGTATTATCTTATGGATCACAAAGATAGGTAGTTAATAAGTGTCATTGTTCCCTACTTGTAAGTATATTGTCATAAAGGATTTTGTCGTAGGGAGAATAGAATCCCCAAAGAAAGACCCAAGCTAAAAAGATGAAATTCAACATGGTAGTTGTAAGTTATAAATTTCATGTGTGTCTGTATGTATATACACACACAACTATACACACACATATACAGTCAATGTAAGCCATTTTGTGATAATGACTCCTTAGAAATTTTGTTCAGGATCAACACAGTTTTGGCCTACATTAGCAGAGAGTCAGAAATGGGATCTCGTTTTTATCTTCTGTACTGGTTTCAGACCATATCATAAGTACCACATTGTTTTCAACTTCTTTATTTTAAGGTTAATACTGAAAAAATTGAAATACTTTAGAAAACAAATGATTTTAGAGACCATGTCATGAGGATTGATTAAATGAGATTTGTGAAATAGTCATATTAAGGAATAATTAGACTTCTTGTATGGTTTGAGAAGGTAATTCTAGGACTCATTGAACCAGATTTCAGATGGGTGTTAATGAAGAACTTTCTCATAGTTTGGTAAGTCTGTAGAAGGAACGAACTGCCTTGACAATGCAGAGTTATGGAGGTGTTATGACAAGAGCTGTATAGACCCTGTCAAGGATGTTGTGAATGAAAGGGTACACTAGAGTATTTCTAAAAATGTTTCCAAGTCAAAGATTCTATGAGCGTATGAAAAGAGAACTTGGCTTGAATGTATCCTTTTTTTTTTTTTTCCTGTGTTATTCACTAATATATTCATTATGTGCTTTGCATTCATTTTGCTGACCTGGAAATTTCAAAGAAGAAAAAGACTTGTATTGCTTTTATCTAACTTTAATAAAATAATGATAATACTTTTCACTTATGCAGCACTTTTCACCCAAGGATTTCAAAGGGCTTTACAAATATGCACTAATTAAGCCTCACAAACAGCCAGAGGTAGGTGATTTTCTTTCCTTTCTACAGGAAGTAACGTTACTTCCTTTCTACAGGAATGTCAATTCTGACACAGAAGTTTAATCAGAGCCTCGGAGTGCCTAGGATTCCTTACTGGCTGCCATTCCCTTTGTAATATGCTGCATGTGAAGCGTCACTTGTCATGTCTGGATTTCTTTTTTTCACCCTTCTCTGAATCATCTCAAGTTTAGAATTCTAATGAATGATGTTGAAAATTTGTTTGAAGCCTTGTAAATATTACAGAAAATTTAGTCTTCTGCTTGCTGAATGCTAATTGGATTTCTAAATGTTTGTTTAAAAATAAAACCTAGGTGTGGTTTTATATTTGTTGTTGAATTTTAAATATATATTTTTTACTTATAAAGAATTTGTCATTTTTTCTAGGTACCCCAAAATCATTGTTCTTAGGACATAAAACTTAATGGCAGATGGATTTGGGGGCCTTACCTTTCCTAGTTGTCTTTTCACAACAAACAGTAACCATTTTCTTTAGACTAGAATTATATATTTTCAAGAAGCAGTATTGCATTTTGGTATTTTTCTAATTTAAAGGTCCAAAATATATCTAGACATTGAGGATAAAGGTTAAATGACGCTACATAATTAGTCTTGTAAAGAAAAAGTGGTCTAGTAGTGGCATATTCTACTCGAAAGGGACACACAGCTTTTTTATATAGTTTAGGAGTACCAGGAAGAGAATATGTACGTATGGAGACACACATGCAGTGTTGGATTAAATTCCAATATAAATAGCCAATTATACAAACTCTTCTCTGAAGCAGGATGGTCACACAGGGCACGAGGAGGTACAGCATATCACAACTTAGTTTCTGTTGGTTCTGAGGGTCCCTGTTGAGGGCATGCAAGTGGCTTTAATACTGTGTACTCTAAGTCAAGTCTTAGTGGATCAGGAAAGGACAATTTTTGCTGTGATACTTCCTTTTATATTCACGTTTCTGTCCCCTTCCAGAAGAATTTATATAATCCATCTGCTTCTGTTGGGAAAACTTACATTAGGCTCTCCTGGTTTGAACCAGATTCAGCATTAACAAGGCTACATCCTTATACCAAGGGAGAAAGTAGAGTAAGAGTTCACATGTCCCAGAAGAATATCTATCTCCAGGTTTTAACATCCTGAAAAGTCCAATTTCCTCACTATATTAGAACCAAATGAGAGACTAAAGAATCAAACTATTCTGTATCAGAGTGAATTTTATTTAAAAGATATTAATTGTAGGGATATGGTTGATCTTTCATGATACAAAAAGATATAGAACTTAGAGTACCACCAGAGTACCCACACTGGTCATAATGTTTCACATATTCTTTAAACAGCGATTTGATCTATGATACATGATGGATAATTCCAGAAAAGCTCATTTTAAGAGTTGGTCTCAAATTCTCCTATTTGAAAAATTTCCCCATATGATATTTATGGAAGTTCACAAAAATTTGGTTTTTACATTGTAATACAGAAGTCTCTGGGTTAACTATTGAGTGCATAAATAGAAGTTTATTGCAGTAAACCTGCAGGCTCAGAAAACTCAAACTCAACAGTGTTCAAGATATGGTCTTACTTTCACTGACTTGGGGATGCATATTCTTACCAAAAATTGTGACTAACATATTTTTTAAAAATCCATTTGTCAATTTACAATGAAAGTATAACCAGCAGGCAGATCAGATATGTCTTAAGTTTATTCTTTACCCTGTTGGCAAACCATATGAGAAAACAGTAATCAGAAATTTGTTTATTGGTCATAGAAATTAAAAAGTTTTGCAGTTTGAATGTGTGATAACTTTAGACTCAGAACCTTTGTTAATGCCCCTTCCTCAATGAGGACAAACCTGCCAAAAAGGTCATATATTCCTGATGGTGTTATAGGTCACCCCAAGGGATTGCTTGGGTTGGTTCCACTACAGCATTGCCTCTGAGGAGCTCCTTGTTCTGTGCCAACATGGCTGACAGACACCCTTCTCAGTACCGTCATCTTCTTTTAGATAGAATTACAGTCATATTGTTACTCTGTGAGATGTTCTGTTTTGAAGGTACTTTCGCATATTTCTTCACTGATCAACCATATGCCTCTTGTTTCCAAGTTCTTAAAAGAGATCTCACCACAGCCCCTAGATTAATAAAGACAAAATTAACTTGAGTTTTACCGAAGTCTGCTGCTATTCAGCCTCAGAAGAGATGCTAAAACATGTAAAGAGTGGCTGAAGGCAGGTAATAAGTAGAAAGCTGAAAAAGGAAGGAGCTGAAATCCGCAAGCTATACAGTCATCCTTTATATAACTGAGAGTTGTTTAGATACATGAGTATTTGATAGCCTTAGTGCTTCAACAGAAAATTTTTCAATGGCCAACTTTTCCTCTAATTTTAAACTGATACAGGTGTGTCTTAGTCGTGGGCTCCATTAATTTCTAAAACATCTTTAAAGCTACCTCTAGAGTAATATTTCCCTTCATCAGAAAATTTAATCTTTCTTTCCATGGGACCAAAGTAGGAAAGGCATACTTGTATTTTGCCATTTCAAAATAAAATTCAGACTTAAAACTTTCAAACAACTTTCAGAAATTACAGACACAGTTTTTGATATAGAAGGAACCCAAAAGTTTGATTTGTCCAGGATCGTTCACTACAAATGCTAACCTAAACCTTATATTTCAGAAATTCCATTCCCCTAAGAGGTAGATTCACATGAATTATATGCCCTTTACTTTTAGTATTTAATCCTATTCCAACACACACACACACACACACACACACACACACACACACACGCACACAAATTATTTAAAACCTTAACATTTTAATCGTTACTTCTAAAGCGTTTTAACTTAATCTCACTTTGAGTTGTGAGAAGAAATCAGTGCCTGTATGAATATATTTTTTAATCATATTGAGATTTTGCTGATAAAGGGAAAAGTATTTTTCCATCTAGCATTATCTGGAATAATCTTAAATCATTTAAATATATTTATTTTTTCAAAGCTTACATTTCTGGATTATAAATAATTTCTTTTGATTGGAAATAAGCTCACTAGCATTCACTGCATGCGCTATGCACGAGCATGTTATAGCTGCCATATTTGCCTGGCAAAATAATATCCTGTCATTTCGCTAAGTGTTTAATAATTCTCTGACTCTTTAAAAGTACTTTTTCTTCTAAATGTATTAATAGATGAAAGAAGAATTTTTAAAGTAATATCAGTTTATCCATGTTTCAATCCACCTTTTTAACTCTGAAGGTTATCTTTGGGCTTCTATTATTTCCATAGAATAAATTTATCATTTATAAATTTATAATTATAAATTTGTAATCCAAAATTTATAATATGCTTGCTGTAACTCAAAACATGTACTATTTAGTAATTTTTTTGCATTGAGGAGTCAGAAGAAGAATTTGCATATCAAATCTGGCTAACTTTCAAATTTTGTAAAATTCTTTGTCTTCTTTTAGTCATAGGCTTATGGTATGATTTGGCTCCAAGTGAGAGTTTACTGCTAAAACTCAATTGCATGTCCTTACTAATAGTGGATTAGTCCTATGAAATAGAGATCTTATTATAAATAACAAAACTCACTTTACTACAGTTTTAATTTTATCATTCCCTAGCAGTGTATTACTGATAGTTGCTAACATGTAAAATATTTTCACATTCTGGCATAAACGCCATGTATGAATGTAATTCATTAAAACGTTTCTGATCTCTCTTTCTCTTTGTCTTGAATGGTACCTGATGACAGAGGTTTTCAACGTTTTTAACAGAAGTTATTAGAATTAAATATTTATTAAACACATTTTTATGACTACAGTAATTTAAAGAAGAAAAAAAGTTAATGATAGCCAGCCACATAAGTCACTTTTGCTGCTAGGAAGAGAATTTTGGAGGTATAAAGTTCCAGGCCTCTTCTTTGACCTGCATTGGAATGAAAAATATAATAGATTATTCCTTTTTTTTCTTTTTAGCCTTGGAATGGATGGCTTTGGCCAATCGGTTGGCATTCTTGGACGCCCTGCCACAGCTTATGGATTCCGCCCTGATGAACCTTACTACTATGGCTATGGCTCTCGATAAAGTCATCCCTCTCCATTTGTGCTCTCAGCTTAGAAGAGATCTGTGTGGGTTGGGTTAACTTTGAATCTTGGCCTAATAATGCATGTTGATACTATTGCGGGTCTGTGTTTCTTTTTACTTTTCCATACTGTTAGCTGCAGGTTAACTTCGACCCCTTCCGTCAAGCAACAGTTGATGCTTGACACTGTTCACTCATCAAACCACATCCTGATGCTGAATAATATTTACCATGAGACTCAGAAGTGAATGCTGAAAAGCAACTAGACTGTAAAACAAACACTACATTATGTACATTAATTGACTAATTTAATTTCTATTAAAAAGAAGCATAAAGTACAAATGAATTAGCAAAAGTCATGTGTTTCTATTTAATGTGTTTTATTAGGAGTTACATGCTTATGTAGAGTGCATATAATTTTTTTTTCCTGTCCTTTTTTTCCCCTTATAAACTCTTAAGTATTTCACGTGATATGTGCTACCTTTAAAATTTATAAAAAGAGTGTCACCTTTTTTATTTCATGCCATGTGCCTGAAAGGTTGCTTCCCAAAGTTATTAACTATGTTTTTTGATTAACAGTGGAACATATGCCATAATTATGTTATATGTGAGTAGAGTTTCTTCAGCAATTAATTCAAATTAATTTTGTCTTTCTGATTTTAATACAGAAAACCTAGGACATCTATTAGTATACATGAAACTAGATTGGCATTGGGTTTTTAAATTTTATTATTCATGAAGTCTAAAATATGGAAAAGCTAATTATGTCTCACTGAAGAAAACTAAGGAACAAAATATTTTGCTCACTTAGATACCCGTTTCCCATTTGGTCACTTGTTTTTACAAGATTTAGGTAGTAAGAAATGGAAAGACATAATAATGAGTTGTGAAAATAACTCATGCATGTTATAGTATGGAAATATTTACTTGAAAAACAGAGCAAATTAAATAATTACAATCTACAGATATTTCCTTGAGCACCTGCTGTGGAAGAAATTATATGAGGCTTTGAAGTAAATACATAGATCAAAGACAAGAATTTAAAATCTCATTGGTCTACTATACTAGTTATTGGGCTTCATTTATATTTTAAGCATAGAATAGTAGAGCTGGAAAGGACCTTTGAAATAATTCAGTCCATCTATTTATTTGGGAAACCAATCACATAGAGATTTAAAATATAGTCAACAGATATTAACTACCTGCTGTGTATAAGGAAGTATATCGTGCTCCTTAGGGAATAAGTGAATCTAAGATATGATCTGTGTCTTTGAACTCACAACCCAATTGATCTTTCTGAAAACATGTATTTATTTGTCTTGGTTTCTATTTTAACTATAGAATATTAAAGCTGGAAAGGGCCTTAGAAACAACCCTATCAAACTCTTTCAGTTGGAAAAACCATGCCAGGAGAAATTAAATGACTTCCCCAAGCTTATGTATTTAGTCTGTGACATAACCTGTCTTCAAGCTTCCAATCTAGTAACCTCAATTAGTAAGTATCGTGCCTTATTACTTGTCATATGTACAAAGTATAAATACAAATAAGAAATGACATTATTAGAAAGATAAAGCAAACATTCTATAACTTAACTTCCCTCATACCATTATAAACTGATTTAGGAAGAACATCCACAACAATTCATAACATTTCCAGGGCTGGTCTCCAGGGTTTACATGCACATACGCATTCTCCCTGTATATTTTTTTCATTATTTTAGGACTTCACAGAATTAGAAATTGTGATCTTTCCACTCAAGCATGGACTGATTTACCTTTGCATTATTTATGAAGGAAAATTTTACTAAAGGAATAAGGAAGAATATCTAAAATTCTTACATACTTCAGAGAACAAAAGGTTTTGGCCTTGGGCACTTTTAGAAATACTATTTATATGTAAGTCAGATATCCTGGACTTACCAGATTTTGTCTACAAATTAAAGTCATGTTTACTTTAAGAACTAAATTGCCATGGCCTCAAGCCACAGTTTATAGCTGGAAATTATTTCTTCTCGAGTTTTCTGCCCTTTCTGAGAGTTCCCTAAGGCGCTTTCTCACATGGGGCCAAGAATAGGTTCCTCATGTTCTGTTTCCACCCCTTGTCCCTACACTGCTTCGTCTAGGTTGTTCATCTTCATGAGATCACAGCTGCCCTCTTCTTGGGAGAGCCACCACTACATTCACTCAGGACTTGGGGAAGAGAACACTGCTCCACCCTTTCCTAGCCCCTTCCATATGTGTGACACACCTATTGCTTAATTCTGCACAGCACAATAGAACTGAAGCCATATATCCTGTCATGACTTTACAGAAACCTCAGAAATGGTAGATGAGGTACATCACACAAAATAACTTGCTACTATTACTAGTTGTAGCTACGATCAGAGCTTACAGTCACTAGGCTCTCACTTGGTGTTATGTTGCAGGGCTTACTCCGTGCCACCAGAAATATGCCAAGAATCTTTAGGACTCAAAGACTAAGCCAAATTGTCAGAAGGTCTCAGAGAAAAGAGAATGCTTTTTCTTCAACCCAATTGAAGGCCTATTCAGAGTCTTTGTTTCTTGTTACAAGATTTTTTATTAGCTGCCTGATCTTCAGGATTTTAAAGACCTTGCATATTTTAAGTCATGAAACAGAGAAAAAGAGAGAAATATAAATTGATCTTCCTACTTTTTGCTAAGTGGTACCTCGAGGGTTTTTTCCAAATCTAGCCAATTTGTCCTGGTTATTGGCAAATCTTCCCAAATTCTATCATTGAGGATACATCAACGTTTTCAGTGAGGTGAGTTTGTCCTTTTGTGTCTTTGTTGCTAGTTTAATGAGAATTTGGAAAATATGGTGTCTCCTCAGATATCTAAAATCCCACATACACATTCTAGCCAGGTACCTGACAGTCTACTAGATTGAAGGGATAACATTAAGCTTCAATATATGATCTCTATGGAGTATAGCAGAACCTCCCAACTATTTGGGATAAAGACTTGCATGAAATAGAGAGGCATTAAAGAATAGAATTAATAACACTGAGAAAAATCAGTGATAAAGAAAAATTTGATAAGCTCTCTGAGAAGGCAGAAGAAAATAACATAGATTAAATAATATATAAAAAATAATATAGAAGATAAAAAATCAGAGCACCAATATTTGGCTGGTTGGTTTTCCAAGAAAAGAGTTTTTGTTTTTTTAAGGCACAGGAATAACAGCCAAAGATAATAGAAGAAAATATTACTGAGCTAAAAAGGATGTTTATCCCTGCAATATGTGAACCATTTTTTAAAATGGATACCGACATCTATTTTGACATAGAGAAGTTCTTGATAAAAATGAATTAAAATTTCCATGAGAATCCTGAAAAGAAAGACAAAATACCTTCAGAAAATCTTAAAAGCAGGCAGAGGTTAAAAAAAAATAGACACGTAGAGTGGAACAAAGATGAAGATGGCAGCAAATTTCTCATCAGAAACAATGTAAACAGGGAGACAGTGGAGCACTATCTTTAACAGTAATGAGAGGAAAAATTGTCAACCTAGAATTCTATACCCAGTGAAAATGCTTTCCAAGAATGAAGGTGAAAAAAGACATGTTCAGGCATACAAAAGCTGAAAGAAGTTATCACCAGCAGAGCCACACTACAAACGTTAAAGGAAGTCTTTCAGGCAGAAGAAAAAATGATACCAGATGAAATATGGATCTCCACAAAAAAACTAAGAGCACTGAAAAAGGTAGCTAAGGGGCAAATATTTCCTATCTTCCTGGTGTTGGACTTAGAAGCTCCTACCATAAATCACTTATGGCATGGGGTGTGGGGGAGGAGGTAGGTAAAGGAAGGGAAAGGAGGAAGAAAGGAACAGAGGAGGAAACAACAGGAGGAGGAGGTAAAAGAGAAGAATGTCTGCTTAGTATTAGTATTAGGCTAGTGAAAGTCTATGTGACTGACTTTGGCTCTCCAGAAGAAAATTTTCCTATCAGGTATTTTCTCAGGAAAATTCATTTCTTCTCACAAAGAGCAAATAATCACATCAGACTACAGAGTCCTGCCCCAGCTCGTGTTTGAGATGATTCTCTTTCTCACCCATTAGTAGGAGTAAAATGATGCTTGCTCAAACTCCATCGAATAATTTCGCTAGTTCAGTGGATCTCAAACATTAGCTTACATGAGAATCAAGTGGAGGGCTTCCCAGACCACATTTCTGGGCCATATCCCAGTATTTCTGATTCAGTAGGTCTGGGATGGGGCCCCCAATTTTGCATTTCTAGCAAGTCCCCTAGGTGATGCTGCTGCTTCTGATCCAAGGACCACACTTTTGAGAACCATTGCATTAGTTCATAGGGTGGGTACTATTTTTTATACCAGTATGCATTCAATAGAATCACCTGAGGAGTTTTTAAAAAATTCAGGTACCCAAACTCCAGCTCAAACCAATTAAATAATAATCTCTGGGACAGGAGCCCAAGAATCATGGTTTAAAAGTTCCTCTGGGTGATTTTAATGTACAGCTAGCCTTGATAATCACTGATTTACAGGAAACCAGTAAATATGCAGGGACTGCCACATGGAGCATGTTTTAAATGGCTGTGTGCACGTCCATCCACCTAAGTTATAGGTTGTGGATGAGTAGGGATGTTGTGAGCATGAAATTCCTGTGCTGGCAGATAACTATATCTGTAACACTTATTGCAGCACATGTGGCAGATGCTGATGTTTTGATGCTCCTACAGTTATTATATGTAATTCAGGCACCAAGACACAGGGGTTCTGCTTCCACATAAAGCAGCCACAGCAAAAAGCACCAGCCTGAAAACCTACAAACACACAATGCAGTACACACAAAACCAGCTGCCCTAATGGTCATCACAAATGGGGGTTGAGTTGCACAACTGGTCATAAATATTGTCATTGTCCCTGAATACAAGTGTAGGGCAGTAAGTCAATCGTGCTTCTTGCTACCTACATCAGAAGTCCTTAGAATCCATCTACCACATTCCCTCGGAAATAGTACCCTAAGAACACAATCCTAGGACCTATTTGTAGTATCTGTCAAGCTGGGACACCAAATTAGAATATATTTGGTTGGCTTTCACTAGTTTAGATCCCAATTTTTACATGTCAGTTACTTATAAGGGTGGTGCCCAACTCTCAGGTTGTTGTCTGAACCCACCTTCCTAATACTTCCATGAAAAGAATCAGTGATGGATAGAACTCCTGTTGCCTCAGTTTTCCTTTTTACAGGCTCAGGGTTCAGGTTGAAGCATCTATTTCAAAGAGTTGCTATATTTAGAAACTTCTTCCTCATCAACTGAGTATCTACATATAACACCAGTGCTTGTGATTGTTTTCCTACACCGGTTTTCCT